CGTTCGAAAATGGTTAGAAAGTTTATATTGTAAAATGAGTTTTTTGAAAAATTGCGTAAAAATCTTCCAAAAATTCTGACAAGATTTCGACGAGCTGATCAGTAAAACGTCACCTGTCGATGCCCCCGGATCAAGATTTTTGAAAAATTCGATCGAAAAACAGATTTTTTTAATATCTTGAAAATTATTTCTTCATTTCATCGATTCTGGAAATATTGTTAGAATTTTAAAAGAAGCAAATTCGAAAATAATTTTTACATGTAGAAATCGGGAAAAAAATGACTTCAGGTAATTTTGGATGGGTGTTCAAAAATCGGTTAAAAAATTTATATTGAAAACTGAGGTTTTTGAAAAAAATTTAAAACATACAAATGTTGGTGGTTCCGAATCAAGATTTTCGAAAAATTCGATTGAAAATAACTTTTTTTTTAATACCTACATATCACCAAAATAATTTTTTTCATTTTATCGATTCTGAAAAAATTGTGAAGCGGTATATAACTTGTACAAATCGAAATGTCTTTAGGTTATTTTGGAAGGGTCTCCGGAAAATGCATAAATTTGCCTAAATATGGCCAAAAAATTCTGGTACATAGATCTCGAGGAGCTGAATTTTTTAAAATATCTCCATATTAAAATTCATATTAAAACAATGAAATTTTTGAAAAATTGCCTAAAAATTATCAAGGAATTCTCGACATTTACAAGAAAATGTCTTTAGATAATTTTGGACGGGTGTTCAAGAAATGGTTAAAAAATGCAAATTGAGAGGAATTGAAAAAGCGATTTTTGAAATTTGACTAAAAATTTTCAAAAAATTCTGGCTTATAAATCTTGAAGAGCCGATTCAAAAAATGCAATGTGTTGCTCGTTCCGGACGAGGATTTTCGAAAAATTCTTTTCAAAATGATTTTTATTTTAAATACATCGAAAACTTTTTTCATTTTGTGGATTCTAAAAAAATTCCTCAAATTTTCGATGAAGTGAAGCCGAAAATAAATCTGCAAGTCAAAATATACAGAGAAATATCTTTAGGTAATTTTGGATAAGTGTTCGAAAAACGGCTAAAAATTCAAACTGGGGCGATTGAAAAAAATGGGATTTTTGAAAAATTGACTAAAAATCTTCAAAAAATTCTGGATTATAAATCCTGAGGAGCCGATTCGAAAAATGCGACGTGTCGTTGGTTTCGGACGAAGATTTTCGAAAAAATTTTAATCAAAATGTTTTTTTCTATTTTATCGATTCTGAAAAAATGTTGAAATTTTCGAACAAGTGAAGCGGAATATAACTTCTACAAGTCGAAATTTACAAGAAAATATCTCTAGATAATTTTGGACGGGTGATCAAAAGACGGTTAAAAAATTCAAATTGAGGGAGATTGAAAAAATGGGATTTTTGAAAAATTGCCTAAAAATCTTCAAAAAATTCTGGCATATATATCATGAAGAGCCGATTCGAAAAATGCAACGTGTTGCTGGTTCCGGACGAAGATTTTTTGCAAAGTTCTATTCAAAATGATTTTTTTTTAAATATGTATATCGAAAACTTTTCTCATTTTGTCGATTCTAAAAAAATTGTTGGAATTTTCGATGAAGCCGATAAGTGAAGCCGAAAATAACTTCTGCAAGTCAAAATATACGGGAAAATGTCTTTAGGTAATTTTGAATAAGTGTCCGAAAAACGGTTAAAAATTTAGTCTGGGGATTAAAAAAATGAGAGATTTTTGAAAAATTGCCTAAAAATCTTCAAAAAATTCTGTCTTATAAATGTTAAGAAACTGATTCGATATGGTCAAAAAATTCTAGTACATAGATCTCGACGAACTGAATTTTTTTAAATATCTCGACATTAAAATTCATATTAAAACAATGAAATTTTTTAAAAATTGCCTAAAAATTATCAAGAAATTTTGGAATATAGATCTCCGCGAGGTAATGCGAAAAAAAAACATTCGAAAAGCATCGTGTTTGTGGGTTCGGACCAAGATTTTCGAAAAATTCGATTAAAAAGCGTTTTTTTTTCATTTTATCGATTCTAGAAAAATTGTTTGAATTTTAGAAGAAGTGAATTCGAAAATAACTTCTACAAGTCGAAATCTACAAGAAAATGCCTTCAGTCAATTGTCGAAGGGTGTTCGAAAAACTTTTGATTTTTGAAAAACTGCCTAAAAATTGTCAAAAAATTCTGGAATCGAGATTTTGAGGAGCTGATTCAGAAAACGCAACCACATCTTCGAAAAATTTGAATAAAAATGATTTTTTTCAAATAATTCGAAAATTGTTCTTTAATTTTAACGATTCGGGAAAAATTATTGAAATTTTCGTTAAAATAAAGCCGAAAATAACTTCTACAAGTTAAAATATTAAAGAAAGTATGTTAGGTAATTTTGGACGAGAGTTCGAAAAAGGGTTTTGAAAAAAATTAGATTTTTGAAAAATTGACTAAAAATCGTCAACAAATTTTGACATGGTTCTCGACCAGATGCATCGAAAAACGCGTCGTATAGAATGTCCTGGACCAAGATTTCCAAAAATTCAATTGAAATAATTTTCTTTTAAATATCATTTTATCGTTTCTGGAAGATTTGTAAGAATTTTCGAAAAAAATGAAGCAGAAAATAACTTAAATTTAAGACGGTTTTCGAAAAACGGTTAAAAAAATCATATTGAAAAATGATATTTTTGAAAAACTGCCCAAAAATCTTCAAAAAATTCTGGCATATAGCATCTCAACGAACTGATTCGAAACTTTTTGATACTGCTGGACCAAGATTTTCGAAAAATTGGATTGAAAAGCAGTGTTTTTAATACCCTAAGAATTATTTTTTCATTTTATAGATTCTGGAAAGATTGTTATAATTTTAGAAGAACTGAATCTGAAAATAACCTCTACAAGTCGAAATCTACAAAAAACTGTGTTCAGGTAATTGTTGAAGGGTGTTCGCAGAACTGTTAAAAAATTCATACTGAAAAATTGAGATTTTTGAAAAACTGCCGAAAAAATAAAAAAAAGCTCTGGCAAAAAATTTTCGATGAAATAAAGCCAAAACTAACTTCTACGAATTAAAACATTCCAGAAAATCTATTAGGTAATTTTGCACGAAAGTTCGAAAAACGGTTAAAAAATTTATAAAAGGATTTTGGAAAAATGAGAATTTTGAAAAATGGACTAAATCGTCAATAAATTCTGACATGGATTTCGACCAAATGAATGATGGTGCCGAATCTAAATTTTCGAAAAATTGGATTGGAAATACCTTTTTTCTTAATATTTGAAATTTTTTTTTTTTCATTTTATCGATTGTGGAAATATTGTTGCAAATTTTCGAGGAACTGAATCGTAAAATAACTTCTACAGTCAAAATCTACAAGAAAATGTCTGTCAATAATTTTGGAAGAGTGTTCGCAAAAAATCACTGAAAAAACGAAATTTTTGGAAAGATGCCTAAATATCTTCAAAAAATTTTTACATTAGATCCATACGAACTGTTTTGAAAAACGCAATTTTTTGATCATTTTCGAAAAATTCGTTTGGAAATTATTTTTTTTACTATCTCCAAGATTATCTCATTTTAGTTTATGGATCTTACAAAAATTCTCGCAACTATTACACGCCTAAATTTACAAAAAATCGAAAATTTTGATTTATAATGATTTTTTTTAAATATCTCGACAATAATATTTTTTTTGTCGATTCCGAAAAAATTGATGGAGTTTTCGAAGAAGTGAAGCTGAAAATAGCTTCTACAAGTCGAAATCTACAAAAAAATGCTTTCAAGCAATTGTTGAAGGGTATTCAAAAACTTAAAAATTCATACTAAAAAATTGTGATTTTTGAAAAACTGCCTTAAAATTTTCAAAAAATTCTGGCATATAGATTTTTTACCAGATGAATCGAAAAACGCATTTGATTTAAAATGACTTTCTTTTAAATATTATTTTATCGATTCTGGAAAAATTGTGGGAATTTTCGAAATAGTGAAGAAGAAAATAATTTCTGCAAGCCAAAATCTACACGAAAATGTCTTTAAATTATTTTTTTTTTTAATAAAAATGCATAAATTTGTCTAAATATGGCTAAAAAATTCTGGTACATAGATCTCGACGAGCTGAATTCTTTTTTAATATCTCGACATTAAAATTGATATTAAAACGATAAACATTTTTAAAAAGTGACTAAAAATTATCAGGGAATTTTGGAATACAGATCTCGGCGAGTTAATTCAAAAAACACATCATTTTGGTAGGTCCGGATCGAGATTTTCGAAAAATTCGATTTAAATTTTTTTTTTTTAATATCTTGGAAAATATTATTTCTCATTGTTCAAGTCGAAATCTACTTGGAAAATTTCGAAAGGTGTTCGAGAAACGGTTAAACAAATTTTCGAGAGCTGAATTAACTCAAAGACATTTGTTTAGCAAAAAAAATATAACCTTATAAATATTATTGAGAATATTTAAAAAAAAATCTGAAACCTTCTGACAGAATTTTTCAAGAAGTGAAGCCGAAAATAACTTCCAAGTCAAAAACTACAAGAAAATGTCTTTCGGCAATTATTGAAAGGTATTCGAAAAATGGTTAAATAATAATACTCATTTGTATTGAGACTAATAAAAAAATAAAAAAAAATTGCAACAATACTGATTGCAAAAAACCTCTAGAAGAAACAATAGTACGTAGTCGATTTTTAAACTGTAATATTCCTCTGTCAGTTTCTATTTTAACCTTAATTTTGTGTATCTCTCCAAGGTTCACTTTTCATTATTAATTTAAAAAATATATTTGTAAATATTGAGAAACACTCGAATGCGCAGATAAATACTGATATCCGAAAAAACACTCAATAATAAAAGCATAAATATGTTGTTAGCAAATATTTATTTAAAAATTTGTTTTTCCTTTTAAATCTCAACAAGATGTGCCAAATTTGCGCAGATAAATACCGATATCTAAAAAAAACACTTAACCGTAAACGCATAAATACACTGTTTGGAAATATTCACTCAAAATTCTCTTTTTTCCTTTTAACTGTCAACAAGATCTGCATAAAGTTACTTTTACTCACAGCTTTAACAACATATACAGTGACCTCTTTACATGTTACTTCATTCACGAAAGTAAGTATGTATTAAGAATGAACAAATATATTTTCTGTGTTTCTTTTTTTCACTAGAAACCCGTCAGTAGCTTGGAGTTTCCAACAAGTTGCAAAGATGTCCAGTACCATGGTCACAACGTCACTGGTTTCTATTTTATCCAACCCACGAATGCCCCAGAACCATTTTTAGTTTTATGCAATATGAACAGTTCAGGAGGGGGCTGGACCACCATTCTTAATAGAGTCGACGGCTCCCAAAGTTTTTACATGAACTGGGACAGCTATAAGCACGGATTTGGCAATCTGGGTGGAGAGTTTTGGCTGGGTTTGGAAAAAATTTACTACTTGACAAGTATGATTTTATTTTAATGTAGAATTACGAAAATTATAGATGAACTTTGGCAGGATATGAAGTTAACGAAATGCTTTTTGAACTTGTGGACTGGGAAAATGGGCAAGAAGATGCTCATTATGACTATTTTAGTATTGGTAGTGAGGAAGAGAAATATATTTTAAAATTAGTAGGGGGATTCACTGGGTCAGTTGGTGACGGTTTCACTGATCAGGCAGGCATGAAATTTAGCACCCCAGATAAAGATCGAGACGTAATAGAGACTAATTGTGCTGCCATTGCTAAGGGAGGTTGGTGGTTTCGGAGCTGTAAATTGGCGAATCCTACAGGCCTGTACATAGTGGGTGGTAATATGTCTGATGACCTCTCCGGAATAACGTGGTACCCATGGCATGGAAGCCACTACAGTCTTAAAGAAGTAAGAATGATGATTCGACCAAAAGAGTGAAAATATTTTGTACAATAAACTAATTTCCAAAAATGCTGTTTACTAATAAAAAATTTCTATTGTTGACGAAAACAACGAAAAAAACATCAGTTCCCTCAAATTTTATAAAACTCCTTCCTCCCACGCCGGATTATTTTTCCAGTCGCTCTTAACGTGCGGCATTATGTCAGAACACCGAAAGTTAAAATTTAATTAGAGTTTGTCACAAGTCGCTCCTTAATTTCGCGACTCGTGCTTGATGCCGAACCCATTGCCACACCGGCACAAAAAGTAACGGAATTACGAACTTTTTCATCCGTTTATGACGTGATACCTGAATGTTTCAGCAAAAAATAAAAGAGCTTTAAAAGGGGCCAGATAAATCCGCAGCTTAATGCAAAAGCGAACTGGCACGTCTCGGCGTAATAAAAATTGCAGGAATTCGCGTGAGTCGGTGTAGTTTTAGTGTGACCTAAATCCGCAAGGAAAATCTGAAAACTCCACATTTCCATGAATTAATTAGAGGCATCAACACGCCTGTTTAATGGCGCTAAATTTGCCCGAATCGCATTAATTAAGCGAGTTGACAAGTAATTTAATCACGTAATTAATGGTTTTCGAGGTGATTAGAAGCTGAAGATTTTATAAGAGAAGAAGTATTGGCGGAAAATGGGTATTCCAAGAAAGAAAAATTGCACGAAAATTATTTGTTGGCGCCTGACGCACATTCAATTACCCAGTTCAGAAAAATTATAGAAACGAGAGAAGTTCAATTTAAATAATTTTACACATTTGGGGTAGCGCAAACCCTTAATAATAAAAGTCTGTTCCAGAAACCTGCTCCCCGGAAATACTCCGTCATTTACTCAAAAAAAACTAATGCGTCCTCATCCACCGGTTTGACACGGAATCGAAAAATGTATCCATGTTTTCGTAAAAGCCTTTGATAAACAACCTAAGCACCGACAGGAAGAGGGCAACACGTTTCTCATTAATAACAGAAGCACTTTTTCCAGAAGCGTCGTTCGGGGTCCTTTCTAAATTACGCTCGACGACAGCGAACTCTTAATAACTTCCATGTATAGAGCTAATCTCTGGGCAAATAACAGCGGCTTGCCAAGTTTTCGCTCTTCGATAAATTTTAACGAGTTTCGAATTCTTCGAGGTATTAATCGTGGACGTATTTCTCCGAATGGGGTCGCTAAACGAGATCAGTCTTCATGACACTAGCTATTTGCATTGCCGCTACCTCAACAAGATTATGAAATTTGATTTGTGGGGTTGTTTAGACACGATTCGCAGAATGGGGATACAAGATCAACATTGAGTTTGCAGTTCTCTGGGGAACAATGAGTGTCTATAGGGTTGAAATGCTGGTTATTTATGCAGTAATGGATGTTTGTTGTAAGGATATAATGGGTTGGAGAATATGGGAAAAAGGGTGTTTATATACCATGTTTGAAGTGGTTTTTGTTCCCAAGTGGCTTTTTTTTTTAATAATAAAATTCACAGCAGCAATTATATATAATTTAAATTTGTGGTGCGTCATGTCGAGGTTAATAATATAATTACCAGGTGGAGAAAATAATGGTAATCTCACAGGTAAAAATGTAAAATGTGATATATACTAATAAAAAAGTAGTATTTTATATTTCAACTTTAGCTAGTTTTGGAACATTTGCAGCTGAAAAAAGTATAGAATTTTCTAAGGACAATATGAAAAATAAAATTTTGGTTTTTATAATGATTCAGTTTTACATAATGTCCTTGGGCGTTGGAAATTAATTCGTAAAATATTTTAAAATGTAGAAGAGAAGTTTATAGATTTTTTGACTTATTCTCAAGACCAGTGAGAATTTAACCTTCTTTCTAAATCATTGTCGACATCTATATCTCAGAATAGTTTAAAAAATTATTTTCTAAGGGGTTATGTACTATGTAGTTGGAAATTATATGGTGAAATATTAAAAAAATTTACTGAAAATGTCTACACCTGATTCTGAATAACTTACTAAAAATTATATTTAAAATTTACTATTACAAGCTGCTTGTCAGGTAAGTCAGATAAGCATGTCAGGCTCTAATGGCAGAATTTTTTCAGAATTTTTAATCTATTTTTCAAAAATCTCATCTCTTCAAGGTTTTTGACGGTTTTTTGAGCAAACAAATTTTTATAATATCCATACACTAAAATACGACAATCTTGGAAATATAAAAAAAAATCATTTTCATAACTAATTTTTCGAAAATCTTGATCCAAGATCATGAACACGTACAAGTTATTTTCGGCTTCAGTTCTGTGAAATTTAAAAAACATTTATAACTGGATTTTTACAAAATCATTTTCTTGTAAATTTCGACTGGGAGAATTTTTTTGGAATAGATAAAATAAAAGATGACCGTTTTTGAGATAGTTGTTAAAAAAAAGAATTTCTAAGGGGTGAAGTACGATATGGAACGTTGGGAATTATAAGGTGAAATATTTTAAAAAGCAAATATGTTTTACTGAAAATATCCATATTTGATCCCGAATAACTTCCAAAAAAAGTATATTAAAAGTTTACCATTCCTAGACTTTTTTCATTTAATATTGCCACCAGTAGTTTCTAAAATTTGTTGAATTATTCTCAGTACATGTGAGAGTTAATTTTTTCTGTAAACAAAGCTCTGTGTTCGAGTTATTTTTTTCGAATAGCTCCTCAAGATCTGTAATCCAGAATTTTTTGAGTATTTTTGGGGAACGTTTCCAAAACTATTTTTTAGTTACCCCACGTATGAATTTTTAACCGTTTTTCGTTCGTACACCGCTCGAAAAGACATTTTTTGTAGATTTTAACTTGTAGAAGTTATTCTCAGCTACAATTTTTTGAAAATTACAACAATTTCTCTAGAATTGATAAATTAAAAAACTACAATTTCCCAAGTAGAAGTATTTAAATTAAAAAAAATACATTTTTAATAGAGTTTTCAAAAATTTTGATTCGGGACCATCAACAAATTGCATTTCTGAATCAGTTCATTTAGAAGAATTTTTTGAGCGAGCATTTTTAGGTAGTTTTTCAAACATTAAAAATTTCATTTTTTCAATGTTTTTCGAAAGAAAATGTTATCTTTTTTCGGCGTTAGTTCTGTGAAATTTTTTCAGATTCGATCAAATGAAAACGACAATTTTTGAGATATTTAAAAAAATTCAAGAACATTTTTTAAAATCTTGATCCGGGACTGTCAGCATCCTGTGTTTTTGAGCTTGTCAAGATCTAATACCAGAATTTTTTGAGGATTTTTAATCAATTTTTCAAGAATCTCATCTCTTCAATGTATGAATTTGTTGACGGTTTTTTGCGCAACCTTCTAAAATTACCTGCAGACATTTTTTTGTAAATTTCGGCTTATAGAAGTTATTTTCGGTTCCATTTTTTGAAAATTGCAAACATTTTATACAATTCAAAAGCTAAACTTTTTTAAGAGAAACTTGGACATAAAAAAAATCATTTTCAAACGAATTTTTCAAAAATCTCATTTTTTCAGAAGTTATTTTCGGCTTCAGTTGTGTAAAATTTTTCCAGATTTAATAAAATGAAAAACGTCAATTTTTGAGATATTTAAAAAACATTTTCAACTGAATTTTTTGAAAATCTTGATCCGGGACTATCAACACGTTGCGTTTTTCGAATCAGCCAAAATATTTGAAAGATATTAGGCAACTTTTCAAAAATCTCATTTTTTTAAATTATTTATTTATTTATTTTTGGAACATCCTTCGAAAATTATTGACATACATTTTATTGTAAATTTCGACTTGTAGAGGTTATTTTTGGCTTCACTTTTTCGAAAATTACAGAAATTTGTTTAGAATCGATAAAGTGAAAAATTACAGTTTTCAAGATATTAAAAAAAAAAAAAATTCTAAAGGGTTAAGTACTATATCGAATGTTGGAAATTATGTGGTGATATATTTTAAAAAACAGTATATTTTACTGAAAATGTTCACATCTGATTCTGTATAACTTTCTAAAAATATATTAAAAATTTACCATCCCTAGATTTTTTTTCATTTAATATTGCCGCAAGTAGTTTTTAAATTTTTAGCTCGTTAAGATCTCTAATCCAGAATGTTGTGAGTATTTTTGGGGAACTTTTCGAAAATTATTTTTCGTTACCTCCTTGTATGAATTTTTAACCGTTTTTGTACACCATTCGAAAAAACATTTTTTTTGTAATTTTAATTTGTAGAAGTTATTTTCAGCTACAGTTTTTCGAAAATAACAACATTTTTTCTAGAATCGATAAATTAATTAAAAAACTACTCCCCTTTAATTTTCCAGGTAGAAGTATTTAAATTAAAAAAAACATTTTCAGTAAAATATTCAAAAATCTTGATTCAGGACCATCAACAATTTGCGTTTTTTGAATCAGTTCGTCTAGATCTAATGTCAGAATTTTGTGAGCATTTTTAGGTAGTTTTTCAAAAATCACATTTTTTTAATGAATTTTTATTATTATCTTATTGAACACTCTTCGAAAATTATTGACAGACATTTTCAGTTCTTCAAAAATTATGGCAATTTTTTATTTATTTTTCTAAATTGAAATTTGTTATTGAAAACAACAAAAGTTATATAGAGCAATTTTTTTACAAACATATTAATTTGATTTTTGTAGATACTTAAAAAAATTGTCACATTCAAAAAACCTCAATTACGCCAAATTAAAAGTACTTAAATAAAATTCCGGATCATATTTCAAAAAAGAATAGAATAAAGATGATAAATTAATAGTAAGGTTTGCTTTCTGAGAGAATCAGTAATTTTTCTGTTTACACTTTAAGCCTGACTTCGCCATAATTTCTCTAATTAATATTTTTATTCCGAAATGTTTTTCTCTTCTACGAAAACACGCAATCAAACGTGAACTTTTGCTTTCACTACCCAAGTCTAAAAATATTTGCATCGGATTTGAAATTTAGCTTATTTTAAAATTCCGACACCTGTTGCTCCAACCTTCGCTTGTAAAGCAGATTTCACTTTATGTTGTTCTGAATGCATACTATCAAGAATTAAATTCCAGTTCTTGTGAAAGTTCCTGCTCTTTTAAATTAAACATTAAACGT